CTTAGGCCACCCGCTGTGAACTTGCCACCTGGGTACACTGAACTGTCCTTGCACCCTTGCCAAGCTCAGGGAAGGAGGGCCCAAGGACTCAGTTGCAGCTAGAAGAGAAGGAAGTTTAAGCCATCCATTAGCAGCAGCAGGGCCTCTCTGAAGAAAAGGGAAGAATTTTCAGCCTGCCCAGAGGCAATGGAGGGCCCCAAGGAGGGACAGAAGACCCCAGACCCAGATATCACCATTGGATCAGCTGCCCCTTGGGCATCACATGGAGAGCTTGTGCAGTTGTAAGGGTGTAATTGCCATGGGGGTTCTTTCTTCGGGGTCCAGCTCTGGAGGCACCCAGCTCGAGCTGCTTTACACCACTGCACCACTCAGTAATTCATCTGGCGTACGCCACGTCGGAGGCTCTGCTTCGGTCAACCTCGGGTCGAGCCTGAGGGATGAGGAAGCACTCAAGAGTGAGTGTGTGTGGGGGGGCAGTCAAAAAAGGGCAGCCCCGATGGCTCCCTGGAGTCGCCCGCTGCGAAGGGACTCCAGTCCCAGCAGCTAAAGTCTCAGGTGGTCTCTGTGCGACTCCTGGAATGGTGTGGGAATGCTCGGGCAGCGGCTTCTCCCTTAACTTACTGTATGTGTCTAACGGTGTAAGGAAGGTCATCTGATTTCCACTCAAGCAATGATAACAGCTGTTATCTTTATGTTTCAGTCCAAAATGTTTGTAAACTAGATAATGCAGATTTTTTTTTCAAATGATCTTACAAGACATTAGTGAAGTCAGGCTCTGTTTTTCAAGATACATGCAAATTAATATTTATCAGCGCTGTGCTTATTATTTTAGTCTATGACTAATCCTTAAGACTGCTACAACTATCATATGGCAAGTGTAATAGTAACTAACTGAATAAGGCAGATTAAGTGTACTGAGAATTACCTACCCAAATACATACTTTAGAAAGGCGTATGTAATTTTAATAATCAGAGATTAAAATGGCATGGCTAGAGAGAAATAAACTATTTTCCTGAGATCTCTGGTACCTGTTTTTGTCTTGGTCCGACCACACCAGAGAGAGGTTTTGAGTATAAAAATTGCTGAGGTTTGAGCTTTGCTCAGAAGCTTGCTTGATATTAGTTGCGAAGGCTGTTAAATATATACCATTTTTCCACTGTGCAAGCATAAATTATTTCCTGTCATAAATTTCACTGTATATGTTACTGGGCTGTATATAGATCGGATATTTATAATTAGCCTGTGTTTGTCTTCACCTCTATCTTTATTTCCAAGGGTTGCCATGGATAACTGTTCTTCCACCTTCGGTGTTCTCATTTTGCAGGTCTTGTGAGTCTCACAAGCATGAGTCCTCTCTTCCACAGCTTTAAATATTTATACAATGCCCTGATGAAGCAACCTAGGTGAAAATGCGGGCAATGCTGCGAGAAGTATTACACCTGCCTGCTGTTAAACCTGAACAAAAGCGTGCTGCAGCCTTTCTGTGCCGCCCTAGGAGAGCTGCCTCAAGCGGTGCAGGCGAGCTGAGAAACACGCTAACAAGACACGTTCTCAGGAGTTTGTCTCTTCTCTAAACTCCTATCTCCTGGGAATGCTGAAATTCTGGCTAGGAAATATGCCCAGTAGTTGCGAGTGACAAAAATGTCCACTTTCATCTACACCGAGCCAAGACGCCGTATCCCATCTCCTTCGGTAGATATCGCCACATTAATCCATTTACAGACTGATTTATGTCAACACCTACCCGGGGACGGCCAGAACCGCAGCGCAATACGTGCTGCAGAGTATTTCTGCCTGGCAAGGGAGATGATTGCTTTCAGCTCAGCACTTCACGCTGCCAGAGACCACGTTCAAACTGCGCCATGTCCAGTGTCCACGGCGGACCCAAGGGTCCTGCTAGTGGAGGGACCTCCGGGCCTTCTCCCCAAGGGTGGGACGGCCGATGTCCTGCCCTCCCAGGAGCTGTGGAGAGGCAGCTGAAGGGGGGGGGCTGTGAGACATCTGGTCTCAGCTGCCCTCGCCCCACCATTGGGAGACGGCCAGCTTTCTCCTGGGAAGAAGTGCAGATTCTGGGATTTACTGTGGGACAAAACCGGAGCGATGACGGACCCCACGGTTTTCAGGCAATCTGCTCAGCAGGGGCCGAGCCTTCCCGGTCTGCAGCCACACGCTCAGCGGCTCTGCCCAGCACGTGGCCCCGGCCAGCGGTCTCCTGCGTCCCTCTGTCATCCTCCCGCATCCCTCTGTCATCCTCCCGCATGCCTCTGTCCTGCCGCATCCCTCTGTCGTCGTCCTGCATCCCTCTGACATCCTCCCGCATCCCTCTGTCCCCCCGCATCCCTCTGTCCTCCCGCATCCCTCTGTCATTGTCCTGCATCCCTCTGTCCTCCTGCGTCCCTCTGTCATCCTCCCGCATCCCTCTGTCATCCTCCCGCATGCCTCTGTCCTGCCGCATCCCTCTGTCGTCGTCCTGCATCCCTCTGACATCCTCCCGCATCCCTCTGTCCCCCCGCATCCCTCTGTCCTCCCGCATCCCTCTGTCATCTTCCCGCATCCCTCTGTCCCCCCGCATCCCTCTGTCC